TTTTTGGGGAGCCCCCCCGCCCTAATGGAAAAACCTCTAAAAAAAAAAAAAAAAAAAAGTTGAATAATTGAATAATGTCGGACCCAGTACCTCCCAGAGCTGTGGAGAGCCTCACGTGGGATTCCTCACTTGAAAAACCTTCGAAAACCACCGATTACAGGGGCGGAGACTGAGGAAGGGAAAGGCCATTATGGATGCTGGATGTCTCACCGTTGTGGGGTCACACCTGCTTCTCTTTCCTTGCAGAGTGCCGGCCTTTCCGTCTGAGCGTGAGTTCACGTCCTCCATCCTGGAGTCCCACTTCGGTCAGCCTGCCCAGATTGTCGCCAAGGAGGCCATGCTGCGAGAATGTTCGGTTTCTCCTCATTAGTTTGTGCTGAGGGAAAGTGACATGGGCTGGGTCACGTGGCCTGGGAGTGGTGTCAGTAGGACTTGGCCGTGGGTCTCCGCTTCTTAGACCTGCCTCCACCGCTCGGAGCTGGCACTGACAGCCTCGCGGTCTTTCCATCCCTCCATCTGTCAACGCCATGAGCACATTAGCTGAAACATTTTATTTCCTGATATGCAGTGGAGGGAGTGTCTGCAGGACCCCTTCCAAAAACAATATTTTCACTCTCCAGCAGCAAAATACACAATATCCATTCTTGTCATTTTTGAATCTCTGGCAACAACTCAACACATTCTTATTTAGAACAATATAACAATCTGACTTCTGTCTGGGCTCTTAAATTCTTTTGTCCCTTCCAGCAAAGTGTGAACTATCCGTTTCCTGGCAGTAGGACAACAGCTCCTGACAATAATAATAAACACGAGCCAGGGGCAGGTGGTGGCACAGGCATCAGCACCCCAGCCCCTTGGAAATCCTGTGTCTGAGTTACGAGGAAGATTAGAAACAGGTAGCTGTCAACCACTGCTTAGTTACAAGGGGCAGGCATCCTTTTCTGGTGGTGGTTTGCAATCCAGGATGGTGTGATTTGAAAGGGTCTCCTTAACCAGCCCCCACATAGCTCATCTCGTCGTGTTTATTAAGTCGCTTTGGTTTAAGTCACCTTTCCCTCCAGGCCTCTGTCTCCTTGCATATAAAATGAGGGGACACAGATAAAGATATATGGACCAGCAGGTGGTGCAGAGGTTAAGGCGGCTGGGTCCCAGATGGCTGGCTGCAGAGTTCGAGTCTGGACCCAGTAGCTTGGAAAACACACTGGCATGTGAGTGCGCCCAAAATCCTGGAGAAGAATGGAGAAGAAGAGATTGCAGTGTGACCATCCCCCCATCCCCCCAGGAGCTGATTTCGCACTTTCCTTCTCTCTGTGTCTCTGTCTCTCTGCAGTGAGTACATATGCCCTATAGCAAAACTAAAAAAAAAAAAAAAAAAAAAAAAAAAAAAAAAAGTGGGCGTGTTAACCTGTTTTTGAGTCATGACTATCATTTCTTGGAAAAGGCTGATACATTGTGCATTCCAGCAAACATTTGTTGAGTAATTTAGTGAGTCAGGGACATCTTAAAAAAAATTAAAAAATAACAGTGAAGTTGTCTTTGAGACTGGAAGAAAGTAGTGCTCAGGCAGAGATAGCAACTTGTGCAAAGTCAAGAGACAGGAAGCAGCATATAAAGTCCCAGCAATGACTGTTTTCCACATTGCCGAAGAGGAGGATGTGAGGTAGGGGTCAGGAACGATCAATCTGGAGATGCCAGAAGGGGCTCGATCATGGGAAGACGTAGATGCTCTGCTAGTAAGCTTAGATTTTGCCCTGAAGCTGATAAAAGTCACTGAAAACTCTCTAAGGACCTCAACCCACCCAATAATAATAATAATAATAATAATAGCACTAGTTAACGTATGTAGAATGCCTAGGTACCACACTTTGTACCATGAGGTTTATACATCTTGACTTATTAAATTCTCCCAACAACAGGATGAGGTAGGTCCAGTTTTTATCCTTTTGTTTCAACTGCTTGTTCCCACATAATTGCAAAGCCATCATCCTCATTTCATTCAAACCTCCATTCCGTGGTTACCTTTGTAGAAAAACCTTTCAGAACACTCGATAGTAGTGTTTCTCTTTCTTGCCCCAGTTCTCTTTGCTATGTGTATTAGTTTCCTGTGGCTTCCATAAGAAGTGACTACAAACTGAGTGTCTTAAAATAACAGAAATTGGACCAGCAGGTGGTGTAGTGGTTAAGATGCTGAACTCCCATGTGGCTGACCACGGTTCAAGTCCTGGACCTGGCTGCTTGAAACTCATGCCAGGTGTATGTGTATGCATGCCCAAAATCCTGAGAGAAGAATGGAGGAGAAAGGACTGCAGTGCCTTGGGGGGGGTGGAGAGATAGGGGGGGGGGCATGATTTCTCACTTTCTCTCTCTCTGTCTCTCTGATGAATGCATGTGTCCTATAGCAAAAATCTCTCTCTCAAAGAAAAAAAGAAGCAGAAATGTGTTTTATTACAGTTCTTAAGGCTTGAGATCTAAGACCAAGGTGTTCACAGGCTGATTCTTTCTGGAGGCCAAGAGGAAAGATGTGCCCATGCCTCTCTCTCAGCTTCTGGAGGTTTCTGGCACTTCTTGATTTCCTTAACCTGCAGCTTCATCACTCCAATCTCTGACTTTATTGTGCCATGGGCTTCTGCCTGTGTGTCTCTGTTTCTGAACATCCCCCTTCTTATAAGGACAACGGTCGTATTGAATTCAGTGTCCACCCTTATCCAGAATGACCTCATTTTAACTTGATTCCATCTGCAAAGACCCCATTTACAAATAAGGTCAATTTGCAGGCTCCAAATGGACATGGATTTTGGGGAGACACTGTTCAACCTCTAGTATACTCTGTTTTATCGTTTAGTACTTCCCACCATCTGATATGTTATATGTTTATGTGTTCGTTTACTGTTTATCTCCCTACTAAGATGTAAGCCTCACATGGGCAGAAACTTTGCTCTGTTCACCTAAAAGAATGCCTGGCATAGAGAAAGTAAGTAATAAATATCTGGCGTTGGTGTGTCCTTGACTTGGCTCAGTAGCCTTGGGAGGCTTTTTAGAGTCTAGTCTGAAGTTCCTTATGAAAGGTTCCAGCAAAGCCAGCTAAATCCATTAGTATTCTTATAGGGCTTTGTGCAAATAACAGACCAAATTGAGACTAAATTTATTTACTCATTGGAAATAAGTTCGTTTGTACCTCTTTGGTAAAAAGGGAAATGGAGAGAGAAAAAATGTTTTGGAAGAAAATTATCATGCACTTATTATAGCTTTTACCTTTGTTCATAACTGTTTTTTTAAGTTCTTAGTATCTGCCTACTGTTTGAACAGAATCCTAACCTTTCACCTGGCTTTAAGTCTCAGGCAAACTTTTCTTAACATTGTTGGATTTTGACTTATTAAAGCTAAAACTGCTTTCATTGACATTAAAAATATATATTAAATATATATATGTGTGTGTGTATATATATACAATTTATGACTAAAGAATGCAGTAAGCTATATAGCCCCAGCTAGGTGCTACTTTATAGTATGTTCATTCTACTCACTGAGTTTCATGCCTAAAGTCAGACATGTGTTCATAGATTTGAGTATATTTGCTGCACTTGTTATTGAAAGTATTTAGTACATCAATAAAATTTTTAAAAAATCTATAAGTTCCTGTCAGGGATATTATAGATAATTGACTAATATTAACTAATACTGACCAATTTGACTTGTTAATCAATACTGTTAGTCAATATTATGGTATATTCATACAATCAAATTTTTGTAGCCATTAAGATATATGTATGATCTCGATGTATAAAAATGCTGATGATAATGTGTATAAAAATACCTTTAATGAAAAAGTAACAAAAAAAAGTAACAAAAAATTAAAATAAATAAATGAACAAATATTTGGTGAATGCATGCATATACTTTAAAAATGAAGAAACTGAGGCATAGAGACTTCAGATGCTTGGTTTTCAGGCACATTTCAAAGAGAAAAATCTCATATCATCTTCTTAGAGTTGCCCTACCCTTCTAGGGCAGGGATTTAGAATCCCAAAAACCCACCTAGTCCAGCTTGGGGCCGCAGCTCATCTCTGGAGACTGATTCCTCTGCAGGTCTCTCATCCTTGCCTTGATAGCCACCCTTATCTGTGGAGGGAATCAGCCACAAATGCTCTAGACCTTCAGAGCTCAGGATTTAGAAGCTGGAACTTTGGCTAGGTCTAACATAATCCCACTTTCATGGTTGTGAGGTTCCGAAGGTCATCCACAACCATGTGAGTCAGCTTAGGAGCAAGCCCTGCCCCCGTTGAACCTTCAGATGAGCCTACAGCATCAGTGACAAACCCCAGTCTCAGGAGAAACTTTGAACCAGAAACACCCAATGAAGCCCAGATTCCTGACGCACAGAAACTGTGAGATCATGTTTGTTGGAAGCAAGGGACCAAGTGTGTGCTTTATGGATAGTCTTTTTCTGAAGCTATTCATAGAGGGGGCGGCATTATGTTGCAGTGTCATGAGGACTGAATGTGCTAATTCATGTTAAACACCTACGGACGTGGCCGGCCCGGAGCCTAGTGATTATGGGAACTGGTCCCACATGGTTAGCTGCTGTTCAAGTCTCGGCCCTGGCAACTTAAAAAACACTCTAAGCTCATGTGTGTGCATGTCTGAAATCCCAATGGGATGGAAAAAATGGAGAAGGGATTGAATGCGATCATTCCCCATGGCGGGGGGGAGGCTTTCTTATTTTCCATTTTCCTCTTTCTTTGGTGAGCAAATGCATATGCCCTATAGCAATTTTTAAAACATGTTATAAAAAGCAACAAGTAAAAAGAAAAGAAAATGCATATAATGAAAAAAATAATGCACAAATTTGCACAGGAGGAAGCCCATTAATTATGCACCAAAAAAACCCTTGAACTGCATGCATTTCCATTTTCTCATGAACTTGTTGAAGTCCCTTTGTGTGTGTGTTTGTGTGTGTGTGTGTGTGTGTGTGTGTGTGTTGTCTCTCTCTGTCTTTCTATTTTTTTTTTTTTTGAAAAGTTTTTGCTACAGGGCACGTGCACTCACCAGAAAGACAGAGAGACAGAAAGTGAGAAATCACCCCCCCAGGGGGGATGGCCATGCCGCAATCCCTTCTCCTCCATTCTCCTTTCGGGATCTTGGGCATGCATTCACACACAGCTGGCATGAGTTTAAGCCACCGGGTCCGGGACTCAAACCGCGGTCGACTATATGGGAGTCCTGCGACATAGCAATTACGGTAACTGCTGGTCCCCCTATATATATATATTTTGTTGTTGTTGTTGTTGTACACTGTATTCTATGTAGAAGTTAATTTGAAGAACATTCCTGTGTACTTGACCCCTGCACGTATATGAACTCAGCTGTCAATGCCAGTTCTGAGAACAAGTTTGTAATGGTTGTGAGTCCCTTATGCCTGGCCTGGTTCCTGCCTCCAACCCTTGGAACCATATGCTGCTAGTTTAAATAGTCCAGGCAAAGTAAGCAGCACAGGGATTGTAGAGGTACAAAAAGAGAACTTGAGTTGTTCGTTCAGTCCTTCATATGAGCACTTAGCTCTCATGTGCTTGCTGGAGAGAGACAGAGAGAGAGAGGGAGAGGGACGGCGAGAAATCACCCCTCACGTGGTCAGCCGTGGTTTGAATCCTGGACCCAGCAGCTTGAAATTCATATTGGATGTGTGTGCGTGTGTTCTCCAAATCTGAGAGGAGAATTGAGAAGGGCATGGCTGTCCCTCCCAAGGGGTGATTTCTTGCTTTCTGTCTCTCTGGCTCTGTCTCTCTGGTGAGTATACATGCCCTATAGCAAAAATCTCTTAAATTTTTTTTTAAACTGAAGAACTGAAGAGTTAACACTACTTATGATGGAAAATAATTTGATTGTAGAAAGGAGGTGCTGTTTCAAATGGTAAACCCTGGATATCGAATGTACTAGACAAGCCACTGAGCAAGAAGAATATATATTTTTTTTCTTTTTAATTGCCAGAGGTTATGTGTGCTTCCCAGAGAGAAAGAGAGGGAGAGGGAGAGGAAGAGAGAGAAAGCACCCTCGGTGGGGTGTGGTCATGTCACAATCCCTTCTCCTCCATTTCTCCATCCTGTTGGGACTTAATTAATGCACTTGCATCTGGCATGTTTTTCAAGCCTCCAGGACCAAGA